CAAAACAATAAAATATAAAGAACTTATAACTGATGAAGGTGAATTTAAAACAGACCCAATTTAAAATACAAAGAGTTGAAATAGGATCGTGGCCCTATATTCAAATTCAAACAAGATACAAAAAAGACAAGAAACAATTTGGATTTTATACCACACTTCAGGAATTAGACAAAATACTACAAGGAGATGAAAAAAAGATGATCACTAAAATATATAATTATCTATTGGAATTCAAAATTGAAGAGGAGATGGTCAAAGAGGCCAAAATCTTTGGCCGCAGTATTGATTTGGACCAATGGGAATAAATATGGCAAATAAATTACAAACTAATGCTATTGGTCTCCTATAAAGAGAATATTTATAAAATGTTTTATCGGTGGCACCTCCCACCAGCGAGGTTAGCCAAAATGTTCCCCAATTTGCCAAATGCCGGAAATGCCATCATAGCCAGGGAACATATTTTCACATGTGGACGTGTCCCCAAGTATGAAAGTTCTGGCTCAAAATTCAAGCATGGCTAGAGGAGTTAACAAAACAAAAAATCAAGTTCAAACCAGAGATCTTTCTGCTAGGTATGTTAGAACCAACATGGGATAAGAAACACCAACACTTAATATTACATACTATAACTGCTGCAAGAATTTCTCTTGCTCAAAACGGGAAACTGACGACGACACCCTCAGATCTAGCAGTAATTAACAAGATACATCAATATGCAGAAATGATTAGACTGACTATGTCATTAAAAAACAGGAAAGAAGAATATTTTACGATATGGAACATATGGTATAAATGGTTAAAAAAAGGGGGAGTAAAGAGGTCATTTGTGAAAATGACCAAAGAAATTTCAAAGAATATGAAACATGACATGTGTATATATATAAAGTAATGTAGATAAATAACCATTGTACTTTAACAGTAAGTAAGGAATTTGCACATAAGCTATAGATATACTTATGGTAAATGAACTTAATTGTTATTAAAGGACATGTACATTGCTATTAAAAAAAGAGTTGGAAGGGACCTCGTGATGATTCTGTGGCTGGGGTTTTCTATAGTGGCTAGGGTTTTGGTGCCATTGGACAGACCAATATAAGAATAAGTACCCGCCTGGATGAACACAAAAATGCAGTCAAAAAGCTGGAACACACTTCCTCACTAGTCCAACAGATGGAAGCCACAGGTCATAGCATCAACTTCAATGGCACCAAAACCCTAGCCACTATAGAAAACCCCAGCCACAGAATCATCAGAGAAGCCATAGAGATTGAAAAAAGACCAGAAAGCATGAATAGAAGAGATGATTCCACCAGACTGTCAATCATTTGGAAGCCTGCACTCACAAACAAAAAAATCTCCACACCACTAGCCAGACAAGCACCTGGGCACAAACAGCTCCCCCCACCCCCCATACCTCCAGCTCAAACTCACCCCAACCAGGCACCCAGATGAAACCTAGCTTCCTAACTAATGATAGCCATCCATTTACAGCCAAGCTGCACTAAAGGCCTCCAATAAAGTAACACAATGTTGCCAGCCAATCAAGATACAAAAAAAGCTAAAAAACAGACAGAAGATATTAGAAACACCAATCAAGCAGAACACAGCAAACTCCAAGACCAATAAACACAGACCAAGACTCCCAACCAATCAGGATGAAGAAAAAACCATTCTGGCACAGCAATAGGCTGCTCCAAATTTAAATCTGAAACCACTGTAAAAGTCTGACTCACAGATGAACACTATACAGAAGCTTGATGATGGCAGATGAGATTCTGCCGAAAAGTTGCTACAACTTTAAAAGCACAACTACTATGACGTGGGAAAATACCCGAACAAAGCCGAATGCCATACATACATACATACATACATACATACATACATACATACATACATACCCTGTTTCTCCAACAATACGACCTCCCCCAATAGGAAGTCCCAGCATGTTTTATAGGCATGAAATGAAATTAAGCCCCTCCCCCAAATTAAGGCCTATATTAAAACAAGCGAAATGGGGGGAATGGTGGTGTGGGGCTTGCCATTAGGAAGTACTTTTGTTGTGGACCCGGATATCGTGCTGCCTGCGTTGACCCTGATACAAAGTGCCCCACCAACGCCAAGGTCAACATCCAAGCTGTTGCTGCCCGCCCGAAGATGCAAGTGGGGGGAATTAAGTCACCCCCGAAAAGACGGCCTAGCCATTTTTTCGGGGCTCAAAAAAAAAAAAAAGACCTGGCCTTATTATATGAGAAACATGGTGTGTGTGTGTGTGTGTGTGTGTATACATACACAGAGAGAGAGAGAGTAAATAAATGCTGATCTGTTGGTTATGATTAAGAGGATAACTCTAAACTTTAGCCTTGCACACCTTTCAAATCTGCTGGTATGGAAAACCTAATCAAGCACCAAAAAGAATCTGATAATTTGCATACAAACACCCCTTTCGGGGACCTTCATGCAGGTGTATTTTACTTTAAAACACTTATTAAGCAAAAAGTACACAGAATGCCGAACAGTAGGATTGGAAGGGAACTGGAGGTCTTCTAGTCCAGGGGTCTCCAACCTCGGCAGCTTTAAGACTTGTGGACTTCAACTCCCAGAATTCCTCAGCCAGCTTTGCTGGGAGTTTAAGTTCACATGTCTTAAAGTTGCCAAGGTTGGAGACCCCTGTTTTAGTCCAACCCCTGCCCAAACAGATCCTATATCATTCCGGACAAATGGTTGACCAATCTCTTCTTTAAAATCTCCAGTGATGGAGCACCTGCTTCATCAGCTATCCTGGAGGCAAGCCATTTTGGTGGTTAATTGTTCTATCAGGAAAAATTTCCTTAGTTCTAGATTGAATGTTTTTTTTTATATGTAAGAGGAAATATAAAGTGCCCATTATATACACTCCTAAACAAATGATCTGTGGAATACATGATGCTGATACTTTAAAAGGTGCAGAACGTTTTAGGTGCCCAAATTGGTGAGCAAAAAACACCCACATGCTCAGGCTCTCACGCAGACAAGGCAAATGAAAATGCACCATCTCATTTACCGATTTCCTTTTCCTTTGTTAAGAGTCTTAACAAAGACTCTTACGTGGGACTCGCCGAATATTAACGCGCCCATGTAGAGAAAAGAGTTGTGGTAAACATTTGCAAAACAGCATATATATTTTTTTTCCTGCCCTCCACCCCAAAGCAAATCCCAACCCCCAGCCCTTCCCTCCAGATCCTTTTTAACTTTCAGTTTCGTTGCATCAGACGGCTTTCCGAGACCCGGCGCTCTTTCCTAGAAAACACGTGCCTCGGCTGTTCTAGGTATAGCTCTCCCCTCCCGCCAGCGCGACGAAAAAAGTCTTGTGAAACGCGGCCGCAGATCCGCCTTCTTCATTGGGGAAAAGAATGAAAGTTGAAAAAAAACCAAACAAAAGATGAACAAAAAATGTTTATCTTGGCATGAATATATTTGTTGGGGCGGGGGGAGGCAAATCTTCCCGGCATCGCCATGTGTTTTTCCCCGGAAAAAGTCGGTGCAGGGAAGAAATGAAACTGACCGCCCTACAGTAGATGTCTATGAAGATTCTCAGTCATCCAGGTCCTGGTGGTGCTTTATTTCAAGAGGCAATTGGCCTTTATGGCTTTTTTTATTTTTAAGACGTTTCGCTTCTCATCTAAGCAGCTTCTTGGATGAGAAGCTAAAGTCTTCAAAGAAAACCAGAAAGCCCAGTTGCCTCTTGAGAAAAAAACACCTTTGGAGCTACAGTAGATGCTGATAACCTTTGTCAAGGACAACCTTCCATCAGCCTGGCCATGGGAGTTGCGATTGCAGCTGATAATCTTTCATTGATCACCCTAGTAAATTGCACACACACACAAACACACAAAAAACCTACAGGGAGCTGTAGAAAATTAGCACCCACCCCTCAGATGGACATTTCTTCCATCCAACAGATCATTTTTCCTCACCTGTTTCTTCACTGCAATTAGATTCAAAGATCCAGTTGGATTCAATGCACGTTTTCTATAAGGATGTGTGGGAGAATTTAAGCCACTTTCTAGTCAAAGTGTGAATTAGGATTTTCTGCAAGGGCTTTGGCTTGGTTTTGGTTTAGTATGAGGCTGATTTCGGTTGGTTAAAGAAGCCACAGGTAAGATGTTTTTCTTCTGTGACCTAGATGACGCCTTCTCCCTCAACTGAGTACTGTATCAGGCTTAAAAATTGCCTTACAGCTATGTATTCTCCAAAGGTTGAAACTAAGGTGAACCACTAGATTCAGTTGTTTGAAAACAAGACTTTTTAAATTAATTTTATTACATTTTTGAACTAGACAGATAAAAAACAAGCATAAGAGAAATGAAAAGAGTAAAGATAAAGTTTTTCATGTTTACTTTAAAATGTAATGGAAGTATTTGTTTAAAATACAAAAGGCTTCCGAGCATAACGTAAATATCCCGCCTCAGACCCCAAAGTCGGAGAGGAAGCTCCATTCTGTTCAGAATTGAAACCAAAGTATTTGAAGACCTGATCGATTATAACTCCTTAGAGGCACCACTGTGTTGATAAAGTGGGCATTCACGTTGGAAGCCTTAGTGCCTCTGAAAATATTCCAGAAACTATTTACCATCCAAGTTCGTGCCTGCTTGGAATTGGTCTTGCACCTGTGCCCGTTTCCTGCGAGCATCTTTCATTCATGAAGTCAGTCGTAGGAAGCAATGCCACAGAATTCAATAGGATTTACGCCCAGCTAATGGTGTGTATATATGTATGCAGGCCGAGGACCTTTTCCAATCGAATGAAGTTTACTTCTCTAAGCCACACTTAAAAGTTATAATCGCACATTCTTCTTTTCCTTCTGCCTATTTATATAGACGGGGAGAAGGCCCTCTACCCGTAACAGCCATTTTTTCCTTCTGATTGGCTACTCCGTCAAGTAGCTTGTCGCGGATTGGTCTGCGCCTTCCTGTTTGAGCTTTGCTACTTCCTTTTTAAAGATATTTTCGCTTTAGCAGAAAGCAAGCAGGCTGGGGAGAGTGTGACATCTCCGGTTCTTTTGAAGGTTCTGGGCGCGCCAGGTAGGTCTGCGTTAAGTCGGGATTCTTCTCGCAAGGGGGCTCTGCACGCCTCCCTCCAAGACCTTTCACGGGTTGCATCTTATAAAACCTGGAAATCCCGCTACTCGATCGCCGGGCGATCGTTTCTTTTCCTGCCAGGATCGCTAAGCTCGTTATTTGTCAGATGGGCTGTTGCAAGTGAGGGGCCAGGGTGCAGACGGTTGTGCGGTGGTCGACACTGTGCGGGTGTTTTGCCCTGGATTTGTAGCCTGGGCTGAAAAAAAAAATGCTGGCTGTGGAGAAGAAGTCTCTTTTCCACGCTCGAGTTGAGACGCCTCCCTGTGCCAAGCAAGACAGAAGGGGATCCCTTTGCCGGGATTTTTCCGCTCTTGGTTGAGAAGTCGCCAGGTTGTGTCCGATTCTTCTTGCATGGATCATACCCTGCCCTCCTCCACTGTCGCCTGAAATTTGCCCAAATGTATGTCCATTGCTTTGATGAGATCTGACGCATTCTTTACCAGCCCCTTCTCCTGTTGCCTTCAACCTCAGAGTCTTCCAGTGAGCCTCTCCTGTCATTTAAGTGGCCAAAGTATTTGAGCTTCAGCTTCAGTATTTAATTCTTCCAAAGGATAGCGAAGGTTGATTTCCTTTAGGATTGACTGATTTCATCTTCTTGGAGTCCAAAGGAAACTGGAGACTCTTCTCCAACCCCGTAATTTACTTCTTTGGCGTTCATCCTTTTTGGTACAAATCTCATAGCGGTACATTACTACTGGGAAAAACCATAGCTTTGATTATAGGTACCTTTGTCAACAAAGTGATATCTGTTTTTTAAAAGGCTGTTTGACATAGCTTTTCTCCCAAGGAGCAAGCTATTTTTTTTAATTTCATGGCTGTAGTCGCAGTCAGAATGATCTTGGAACCCAAGAAAATAAAACAATTTTTACTTGCGTATTTGAAATACCGTATTTATCGGCGTATAACACGCACTTTTTCCCCCTGAAAATAGGGGGCAAATGATGTATGCGTGTTATACGCCGATGTCCAGGGAGCGGAATCCTCTTTAAGGGATCCCGTTCCCAATAGTGCCTAGCGGCGGCGCAGCGTCGTGACGTGATGTCAGCGCTGCGCCCGCCGCATATTTTTTTCCTGAAATTTCCCTCTTAAAGGGAATGCGTGTTATAAGCCTGTGCGTGTTATACGCCGATAAATACGGTAACTGGGTCAAATCAAAATTTGGGTGGTGATTATGGTTGCAGCATCTTTGGGGTCATGTGATTATTTGTGACCTTTCTGGCCAGCAGTGTCAATAGAGGAAGCCGGATTTGCTTAAAGAATGCATGGTTCACTTAACAACCAGGACAGAAAAATTCATAAAATTAAGCTGGACTCAGCTTAAGTCCAGCTTAATTTTAGCAATTGTCCCACTTACTGTCATGAGAGGAAAGTCTGTAACTTGGTCCTTATGGCAGAGACTAATATCATATGGTATTCATTGCAGGAACAAGCCTTACATCAACATCTGAGACAATGCTCCGTTCAAAGTGGCCACACCATTTTGGAGTTGCTGCACATGTGCAGGGGGAGGGGGGTGCATGGGGTCACAGATGGGTGTTGGGTGATGGGACTCATGCTGGGAGAGGAGCCAGGAGGGCAAGCCAGCTGTGGTCAGTTCAGAAGCCATCCAGGCCTGAAGAGTACTTGCTGGAGCCAGCCAGGAGCAACCAGGCACAGAAGGGGTGTGTGTGCCGAGTCTGTATAGCCAGCTGGCTAGCAGAAGCCAGTATTGCTGGCTAGAAACCATTTAACTTGTTCACCACGGGCCAAGTTGAGACCAGTACAGACACTCATTCTGCTCACAGTGTGGCCTCTTTTTCTGGCTTGGTTTGGAACTGTGACATCTGTATACAAGCAACAGTGCATTCCACTGTTTAAATGTGTAGTATATATTAAATTAATTTAAATTAAATTAAAAATTGAAAAGGTTTGTATAGTACATGAAGCAAACTTCCTGGCTGGATCAATATGACATAAGTATAACACAGTTTTGCTTCTGTATGATTGTTGAGAAGCCAGCCTTCTTGAATCCTTTCCTCTAGTACTGATGTGTAAAACCAAACATTTTGATGAACTACAGTTTATATAAACCCTGAATCAAGCATAGTCTGGGCTACAGTTGTGTTCTTGGGATGTATTCGAAGTTGCATATAAACCTGAAACTCACAGAGCATGCTTTAATTTATTCGACTTTCATTAACACAGCATGTAGCTTACGACCATGTTCTTATAACTTTGATTTGGATACATCTTTACCTCATGGTAAGTAAGGTTTGCCCTTGGTCAGCTGAGAATAACATTAAATTGATTGGATTTTTAATAGTTATTTTTCCTGTATCTTTACTTCTCTTATATTAATAAGAATTTTCAGGGTTGATTTGCTACCGAGTCCTTCGTCTTATTTCCAAATAGGCCAATTCTGGGAACAAATGGTGAGTAGTGGTAACATATGCCGATACACACACAACAGTGGTTAACAATGAAAGAGAAGGAGGATTTTTATATGGATTTGTATTAGTGTGGTGTGGCATTATAGGAAAGGAGGAAATGTGCTTTCAGATAATCTGAGTAATTTGCATTTAGATAATGCAGTTTCTTAACTAATTGAAAATTTTACTGATTGCATAGAAGAATAAATAAGACCTGCAGTTAATACATAATTGGGCATTTGATTCCACAGGATGAGTCAGTGGTGCAAACTGCAACAGCTGGATTCTAAATTCTTGGAACATGTGCATCAGCTCTATGATGATAACTTTCCCATGGAGATCAGGCAATACTTGGCACAGTGGCTAGAAAACCAAGATTGGTAAGGGGCTTAATTTGTGTGAGCTATCCAAAAAAAATAAAAATAAAGGCTTTGATTCCAAGCAGGAGTAGGATGCAGTCAGCAGTCATGAGAAGTTAAATTATTTCTCTGAAAACTAATGGAACTTTGCTGAGGAAGTAAATTCCATTGGATTAGGTAGCCTCATACTGTATTTTGTATTCTTAAACCAAATATTGTAAATGAAGAAATGGGAAGCTACGTCCTCAGTCTCATAACAGCACATAACAAATATTCTGAACCATGTGCATGTTGAGGAAAGTGCTTAGCATAAGCAACTGATATAAAGTATAAATCTGCATTTTGTTTCACTCTAGAACTCTGATGTATAGAGCAGCATATTTAAAATAAATCATATTTAATCACATTGCAATTCCACCTTAACCCTTGGACTCTTTTATGGCGTGTCAGGTACTTTAGAGTTTGACTTGAGTTACAGTTTGTGCATGTAATTCCTATTCAGAGGCAAATCTCCAAATTCATAACTTGACAATGCATATACAATACAATATGCAATATAGCCAGGGGTGGGATTCAAATTTTGTAACAACTGGTTGTGTGGGCGTAGCTAAGTTGGTGGACGTGGCTTGGTCATGTTATTGTCTGGGCGTGGCCAGCTCAATATCATTCACATCAAGACACGCATCTCCTCACTTGGCCTCTCATGACTGTGGGGATGCTGCAACAGTTGTAAGTGTGAAAAATGGTCATAAGCCACTTTTTTCAGTGCCATTGTAACTTTGAATGGTCACTCCACACAAGCAAAGTACCGGTAAAGGAGGGGAAAATAACTCCAGAGACATTCCTGAGACAGGAAGTCTGGTCCTGCCAAGAATGTAATAAGGGTTAACGGAGAAGAAATTTCTGTAAGCAACACCAGAATGTTTCCTTCCTGCCTTCCTTACAGGATTAGGCCAGTAATTTCTTCTAACAACCGGTTCTCCCAACTGCTTAGGATGTTAACCGTTCTAGGGAATAGGTGCAAACTGGTAGAATCCCACTCCTGAATATAGCGATAATAATAGCAAAAAAGGACATGCAACTGAATTGGAAATACTGCCCTTGTCCATCATGCTACTCTATTGCTGTTCAATCAGCTGGGTTCTATTATTAGCAGAGCAGTCTGTATTGTTCAGGTGTATTTGCTATGGGTTCCCCTGCCAGATGTAGGGTACTTTAGGGACTATTGGAAAGTTGGGTCGGTTTTTGACTGCTAATCTAAGCAGAAGGGGAAAGAAAAATAAATTGGGGTTTGTGCAATGTAAAGAGATAGAAGATATGTTAATGCTATTTGCATGCTTCATCTTCTAGGGACCATGCCGCTGAAGATTTTTCAATGGCTACGTTGCTCTTCCAGAATCTTCTGTCACAGCTGGATGATCAATATAGCCGTTTTACCCAGGAGAACAATTTTTTATTGCAACACAACATCAGAAGGAGTAAACGAAACCTCCATGTCAGTGTACAACAGCATTTTCTAATTTGCCTTTGTGAAAACATCTTACAATAATTATGTTGATAATGTGTGGATTATTTCTATAGTATAATGAAAGGAACCTTTAAAAAATAATTGCTGTGCCATCCTAAGCAGAATATAACAATGAGCCCATGAATGAGTCCTTCCCTTCCCTTCCCACACTCAGTTCTTGTTAGCTATGTTCCCATTGTAGCTACTATCTTTTATCTTCTATCATTTTTTTCCTAGAAGAAGAAAGGGAACATGTGTAGCTTATAACTTTCATTGTAGTTGTAAGCTGCTGAGTCTTCAGTGTTTTATTTTTTTATGTCATTTTTGCTTGACATCTTTTGCAGTGTAGCTTCTAATAACCATACCTTCATATGTTATACATGCATATCTTATTATTATGAAGAAGAAAATTCCACCTGGATTGGCTGGACGGTGGCTTTTGTCTCTATTTTTTTTTCCTGGTGTGATGGACACATTCCTTTTTCAGCCTTAAATTTGAGGAGCTCCTTTTTAATCAATGGAGTAACAGAAAGCATTCTTTAGTATACAGCAGTTGTATATCAAGTATCATTTCTGAGATTGAAGGATATCTTAGCTTAGAAGTGAAAAAACGAGGATATTACCGTAGGATTTACAAATACAGTATATGATTTGTAATTGAATTCTGACTCCCAATACTTTAATGGAAATAAATAACCGAGAGTGTAGAATAGAGACCTGCTTTCACAGTAGTCTATGGTAGTGACCATATTGAAAAAAATACTGAAAATCCCTCACTGTATATTTCATGCTATAATCCAGAATACTTTTGTGGAAGAACCCATGTATATGGCCGTGATGATCTCCAAATGTCTCCAAGAAGAAAGGAACATCCTGAAAATTGCAGAGTCCACAAATCAGGTGAGTTATCCTTTGTGTGCTTGGAAAACAGCATCCTGTTTGATCATTGTGCAGCCTCATGTACTTCAGTTTCAAATTTTAACATGTCTACTAAACTTAGCATTTTCTCAGAATGGAAAGCAACGAACTAACCCAAGAAATATTCATGAAATATTCCTGCTGTGGAGAATGATTTTCCTTACTAGGGAGGGGGGATTCTACATCATGATACATTTAATTCTTGATTTTTTTTTCCCATTTCAAATTCCAGATGCAAACGGACAGTGTGCAAAATACGGCAACGCTGGGCAAAGTGAAAGAGTTGGATGCAAAAGTCACAAATGTGAAGAATCGTGTCATAGTACGTTAAAAGAGTTGCCACTTCTTTTTTTTTTTGCCATATCATAACCCAAAGGGGAACGCATTGTTGTTTCAAATGCACAGATTAGGGAATGTGCAAAGAGAAGCTACATTCGAGAAGGATTGAATGGCTGTCTGGGAACAATGGACAGTGTTTAATCTCCCAACGATATTATCAAAATCTTGCTATTGTCACATGACAAAACTTGTTGAATAGTCATATTTTTAGCACCAGTTGATTGTGAGACACGCATAGAGGTAGGACAGGGACACATGTAACATAGCCTTCTCCAGCCTGATGAACTTAGTTGATGTCTATTACAAGGTAGCATTTCCCAGAGATCTTGAATTTAAATCTATTCAAGTCTCAGTGTGATCAGTGGTTGATATTTAGACAGCAGCAGGTTTCCATTTCTGACTATTCCAGTGAATATTCTGGTTTAACTGGAACAAAGGACCCTTTGGTTCATATTATTACTCTGCTAAGCCTGAAGATTCACTGGTCCCTTGCTTTGGTCATATTTTTTGACTGAACCTATTTTAAGACTTTGTCATAAGATAAAACGGGAGCAAAGGCCTATCTTGATAACTGTAGTGAAATGAATCATTGAAGTCATTACATTTCTTTTCATGAATACCACCATTTTCCATTAAGTGATTCTAAATGTCTGATGAGCTTATTTGTTTTGTAGGAAATCGAGCAAATGATAAAAAATCTCGAGGATGTTCAAGATGAATATGATTTCAAATTTAAAACCTTTCAGGTCAGAGGTGAGGAGTCAGTTTCTAGCCTTTTTAATGAAATCTGTTGTTTCCTATGTTAGACATTGTTCCCTGACAATGAAATCATGTCCAGTTGAAGCTCAGTTGAAGTCTTAATCTGTTAAACATTTGTTACAGACTTGATTTCCATTTTGTGAATGTCCAGATCTGACATCAAGATCTGCTGCTTGTGCTCATATTACTCCAAATCATCCAACCCTCACTTGGTTTTCCTCCACATCCACTTGTGCTGGATTGCAACTCCCATCCTCTCCCAGCTGTATGTTACCTGGGGATAGATTGACCGAAGTAGACTTGAAATGAACTCCCAACATTGAGCTTAGAACAAAACCACTCAAAACAATCCAGTTTGGAGTGTTCTACCTTCAACTGGAATGAAACTTGAATTGTTCTTAATATTCTTTCATAGAGAATTCCAAGCAAGCTTTTCATTTATTTTCCATCCTGCAAAATCTCGGCTCACATCATAATCAGGATGGGAGACATTCTATCTAATCCTTGTTCTAGCTTGTCAGAATCCATTGGACCTTGCCTTTTGCTGCTAATTTTAGGCCTTGGTTCTTTATTGTTTGGAATACCATATTCTAGATCAGTGGTTGCCAACTGGTGGTCCACGGCCCACAAGAAATTTTTGGTGGTCCGCAGAGAAATGTCACCCCCAAGCAATTAATGCAGGCTGTGCGGGAACATAAGGCTTGTGTCGCTTGCATTGCAAACAACGCAAGGTACTGATGGGAGGGTGGAAAGGGCAGCGGGGGGAACTTGCCCCACGCATCTCGCCCGACTACCGGGCTGCTTCTTTCCACTTCTTTCTTCTTCTGCTTTTGGTTGCATGCAAGGAAAGCAGCAAAAGTCTTTCTTTCTCTCCCCCAAACTCCCCCAGAAATGAGTCTTTGGGACCTTGCAAGGCATCCTGCTCCAAGAGACTGTGCCAGCAAAGACTCATTTCTGGGGGAGTTTGGGGGAACTGGAAGCTGCAGGCAGAGACCCTGGGAAAATTCCAAAAAAAAGTCTGTAGGAAAATCTGTCACCCCATTTTCCTACCGATCAATTGTTCTTTATTTGGGATTGCAGGATACCATCTCCCTCCCTCTCCCCCCCCCCCCCCGAGAATGGAGCTGAAAAGCAGGTTAATGAAGGAATGTGGCTCCCTTGGAGGGTGTGTGTGTGTGTGTGTGACCTCTGTGTCTATGTGTGTGTGTGTGTGAGAGAGAGAGAACATCACCGTCAGCCCTCCGAGGTTAGATCGGATCTCTCTTCCTCTCCCACCAACATCAGCAAGCCACCATCAGTCAAAATTCATATTAGTGGTCCGTGGGATTTAAAATTATGGATTTGGTGGTCCCTGAAGTCCAAAAGGATGGCGACCCTTGTTCTAGATCATGGGTGTCAAACACAAGGATGTGGTCAGATCCGGCCTGCCTGGCCATCCTGGAAACAATAAGAGGCTGGCCTGTGTCGCTTTGGCACATCCCATTCCAGCGAGCAGCAGCGGAGTTGCTACCCAGGAGCTGCCAGGAGTAGACACCCCTGATGTTGCACATCCTTCACTGGGGCTGCTCGGCGGGGAGAGCTGAGACCCCACCCTCTGAGGCATCAGCTCCAGAGCACTTTTGGGCTGCCTGACCAACACAGCTCCTTCAGACAGATCCCCCAAGGCTGCGGTCCCTTCACTGGACTGAAGGCAGCCTTCTGTCTTGCAGTCTCCCACCAGACTTATGTTCCGAGCTGAGGGTTGCAGCCAAATTCCTTGCTCGGCCGGTGTTCCCAGAAGCTTGGGGGTAGTGGGGCTTCCCTCTGCAAGACTGGGTGAGTTGTTGGTGCTGCCCAAACTGGTGCCCAGGGCTCAAAGGCCCTCTTCCTCCAGCCTAGGGATAGGTGCCACTTCCTACCCAGCCACCTGCCACGCTTTGGGGATGCCCAGCCTGGTGCGCGTGTTGGGTCTGGTAGTGGGCGGGGAAGCATTGTGCCCTCTCCTGCTTTTTTCTGGGCCTGCTAGTGAAGCACCCCTCTCATGCACCCAGTGCACCTTGGCACCGCTGTAGGCCCGCTGCAGTTGGGTACAGGAGTGGAACATGGTCCACATGCAGGACAAGGGCATGACCCGCAAGGAGACCGAGGTGATGACCAGTGATGACCTACTCTCCAGCCAGAGACCAAAACATACAGTGGGTTGGAGTAAGCGCCTCCAGCGGTCTTCATCATGTTCCTCCCCCCTGCCTCTGCTTGTTGCTTGGACAGCCAGCCCGGTGGTGGCAGCAGGCTCTGGAACTGAGGGGTTGGCAGGCTGCATCTACAGCCGGAAACCATCACCTTGCACACAAAAGGCAGCAAGGGCATGGTGCCCAGTAGATTTCTGGCTATAGCTTCCCCGCTCCCTGCCTTGCCTTATCTCATCCTGCGGGATGAGCCTTCCACCCCCACCCACCGGAGACCCCTGGATTCCCTCCCCAATCCTGCCCAGGCACCACAGGCACCAGCCACATGAGTGACGTCATGCTCCTTTCCCCAGCCCCCATTGGACAACCACAATATTGATCTGGCCCTCAATGAAATTGAGTTTGACACCCCTGTTCTAGATCCTCTTGTGAAGAAGATCACATGTCTGGGAATTGCAAATCATCAGTATCTGAAGTGCTGCAAATTGCCTATCCTTGGGCTAGATTTAAGTATATTTCTCCCCTTATGCTTTGCTTTTGTACATTCCTAGTGCCTTGTCCTTTGGCTTGGTAGCCTTATAAGTAGTCCTTGACTTTCGACCATTTATTTAGTGACTGTTAAAAGTTATAATGATGCCAAAAAGTGACTTGCAGCCAGTCCTTGCAATTAATTACCCATCACAGCATCCCTGCAGTCATCCCTTGGCAACCAGCTGACATGACAATTGTAGCATCCTGTGATCACATGATCATCATTTGCGATCTTGCCCCGCCAGCTTCCAACAAGCAAAGGCGAACAACAGGTGAAGCTGGCAGGGAAGGTTACAAGTTGTGATTACACCTTGTCTTGCCTAAAGATGGTGGCAAAAAAAAGGTAAAAATGTGTGCGGTCATGTGACACCTCACTCCCTTTATACCAGAGAGGATATTGTTTGATATTGTTTATTGTTTATCCTTTCTTTTTACTTTTCCTTTCTGCAATTTTAAATATGAAAGACATATAAAGTTCTGGCATGATCTCTTTTGCAGAATGTGAACCCAACAACATGACCCAGGATGACTATAAAAAAGAAAAAGTGCAGCTCCACACCATGAATTTGCAGCTTCACAGTAAAAGACAGGTGATGCAGCTGGTTGTTTCTTTGGAGAGCTGTGGTTGTTCATTGGTGTAAATAGCAGGCACTTTTTCTGTTTCCCCTCCCTTTAAAGGCTTTGAAGAACCGATGGTTGGAGTCCAAAGTGTTTGTGAGATGTATCTTAGTTGGAGGATAAGACCAGGGAAATTCTAATTCATCATGAGCTTTGGACATTACTGAGTGCCTTTAAACAGTCACTGCCTCTCAGTTCAACCTAAGCATTATTGGGAAAATACGATCTTAGAGGATGTAGTACTATGATTGTCACCTTCAACTCAAGGGAAAAGAAAACATACACACAACAAAATTCACTTAGAGGTGGATGCCACAGTGTAACAGGGTTCTTTTTGAATGGAAGATTAGCTTTACAAGGCAGGCAATTGGCACTGATAAACAAGCCGGTGGAGTCCTTTCTTATTATTACAGTGAGGGCTTTTATCACAAGTTTTTACAATATAATTTGGTGTTCACCTGATAGCTTTTCTCTTAGGTTTCACTCCTAGAGACTCCCTGTAGTTCTCCTGCTAGCTATTTGGTTTCCGTCCCCTTTCATCCCAACTCTCTCCCCCTCTTCTGTGTTTTAACAAGAGAGCAGGTAAAAAGGATGGGCTGGAATTTTATGGTCATGCATTGGTTTGATCTTCTGCTCAGTAGAAGATCTGATTCTCCATGGAGGAAAAAATCTGAGTCTTCTGCCCAATCCTTCCCCAGGGACAGCCACGTCTCCTCCCCTTCTTGGGTGGAGTTTTTACCCCTCTGGGTCTTCACTTTCCTTTTTGAAGCTACCTGTGAATCTTTTTTTCTCCTTTTCCAACCAGGAACCAAAAACTGCTCCTCACACTTAAATTCTCTCTCCATCTTAATTCTGTAGCCACTTGATTCACTCCATGCAATCCTCTTGTCTCATTCCAGTTTTTAATCAGGCCAACAAACAGCATGCCCCCCAGCAACTGAGGAGGTAGGTGTCCCCCTAGGGATCTGGTCCCCAAGACTTATAGAGCAGGCTTGACTACTGGAACTGCTGTCTTCGCATCTCACCACAGCAGCCCTGGCTAGCTGCAAAGTTGGTTCATCAGGCCTTGTGATAGCACAGCTGCCACTCAAAGCCAGCATTGAGCAGCTTCTCCCCTTGTGCTCACTCACATCAGCAAAACAACACCTACATCAGGCCACTAAAATCCATATGCCACAGTTGTGCAATATGCCATCATTGCTGTTCTCCAGTTTAGTGTAGGGCAGTGGTTGTCAACCTTTTCTTCACCATGGACCCCCTGTAAATACCTTTTGTGGCCACGGACCGCAGCCAAGGACCCCCAAGACTTAACTCAAGGTTTAAATCATAACATTTCTTCAAACCTTCTCAGACATCCCCTGTGATAACAATGCACACACGCACACACAGGGTTAGCAGACCAGAGGTTGAGAACTACTGGTATAGAGGGTAAGTTGTCCTTGACTGAGATAAGCCAAATCAAAGCAACACATGAAAAAACAGGGCTTAAGTCCAAAACAAGCAGAAGGTAATGTGAAAGCAGTTCAAGCTTTTCAGCTCCCTAATTCATTTGCACATAGGGACAGGGGCAATAAAGTTCAATCAGATTTACAATATTCTATTAGCTACAGCTAGTAATTTAAAAAGTAGTTTAGCCTTGTGGCATTGATTTCTTGCTTTGCTCTCCATGGTAGGGTTGACAAATAGAAATTTAACAGTCATTCATTTAGGTTTCCCTCTGACTTTCATTCCTGCCTTGTTTATTGATGTCACTGTACTATCCACTGATGCTTTTGGCTGCCATAGCTTTTTAAAAAATTGAAAGGTTCCTTACTTTGTAGGTTGACCACTAGTTCCTCTTATTTATTTGTTAGCTATGTATTCCACAGTTCAGTCGAGAACTTAGAAGATATATTGTACATGGTGCTTCTTCCTTGTGTTATTTCTACACAACAGTCCTATCAAGTAGGGTGTGGAGTGTTGAATCTGCATCCTGCCCTTTGGATGCAGTTATTGCAACATATGTCCCTTGGCTAAAGACTAGAACATCTTCCTGTATTCCGGAAAATTCCCACTGTGCATCACGTGAATGTTAGAACTCTTTTTTAAAATTGAATTTTCAAATGGATCTTGCCAAGATTGCTCTTAATAGTAGAGTAATAACTTGAATGTGTTTCTTACTGGATTCTCTCTAGGATGTGCTACACTTGATATCCTCTTCGTTGCCTGTGATTGAAAATACCCAAAATGCTCTGATAACAGAAGAGCTGGTTGAATGGAAGCATCGACAACAGATGGCTTGTATTGGCGGCCCACCCAACGCCTGTCTAGATCAGCTTCAAAACTGGTAGGTCTCTGAAGCATGGCAAGTACAATCAGGAATTTTCTGAATTAATTCATCCAGAAAGGAAACGTACCTGAAAATTTTCACAGACAACTATCCGTTCTGAAAGCTAATACCTTCCTGAAGGGTTGGAATTCTGCTATTCCTCTCTTCTTGTCATGTTTGTGAGTTTTCCACATTTTTAAAATATGTGGGTTACATTCTTCTGTTGATGAAATGCACTGTGTTGACTGTGCCATTTGAGAATTATGACACTTGGATTCCAACAGACCTCCAATGCTACCAGGTCTAATAACTTTTCAGCAAATGTTCCAACAGTTGCATTTCTGCAGGTGGACAAATTTCTTAAGTGACTCATGTCCCTAAAAAGTGGACATTAGTAATGGTTGGAAGACTTGGGAAATACTACTGATTTAGAAGTGGAATCCAGGGTCCAAACAGTTGTATATGGATTCAAGCATACCAAGAATGCTCTGAGTCACATGTCTTAAGAGCCTTGTAAAGTTACATGTTGGCCCTAAACAGTTAAAGACTGCTGGTTCCTGCGCTTGTTACCCCAAGGAGAAATGTAGCAATCTTCACATACAATCATTGTAATGATAGGTTTACCTCGGTGGCTGAGAGCCTTCAGCAGATTCTTCAGCAGATTAAAAAATTGGAGGAGCTGGAACAGAAATTCACCTATGAAGGTGATCCCATTACCCAACAGAAGAAAGGGCTGTATGAGCGGACATGGAGTCTCTTCAAGCAGCTCATTCAAAGGTATTTTTTTCTTGTGTTAGGTGGGTCAGAATGGGCATTTCCTTGTTTAGAAAGGCATATTTCACCTTCCCATCCAAGCTGAAGAATATGTCCCTTTCTCTTATCTAGCTGATTAAATTATTTGGTTGAAATGTGAGCAGTCACATTATTCCCAAAAGATCTGAACTCTCCAGTGAAATAATTTTTGTTTGAAATTGTACAGTTTTTAAATTAGATTTGTTTGTGTTTGGATCAAATTTAAAAGAAATTGAAAGGTGTCTCCTGCTGACTGATTTCCTTGAAAACTGCAGAGAGTCTTCAAAATCTCAGAAGGCTAGAAGAAAAATGCCAAAGAGTTGTGATGGGATGGATCAGGCTTCTCCAACCTAGACAAAAATTTGTGGATTGGGAAGATTTGTTTATAGGAGGGATACTCAATAGGCCGTGGCCTATTCGCAAATGGGCCTCAGGCCTGCACACATGCCCAGCCCAACTCATGCGAGTGGTGGGCTGGCACACATGCGCACGCAGTTCAACTTGGCAGTTGAGCTGCTTGTGCAAGTGTGCCAATATCATTCATGAGAGTCAAGCTGCGTGCACCTGCAGGCTAGCCCCTGCTTATGTGGGCCCAGTTCCCCTCTCCCCCCTCCCAAAGCTAGGTCACCAGGCTGCAAAGGTTGAGGTCAGCTGGTTTAGAGAACCATGGAAATGTATTAAAAGAACAATTTTAAATTATATTTTTATTTTTAACTATTTAGAGATTGTTCTTTATAAATTTTGTTCCTAGCATGCTAGATGTTTGTTCCATATAAATAACTTGAAAAGAAAACCTAAAGCCTCTTTTTTAATGTTCACAATTACATTATAAAAGATTGAGGATCTGTTCATTTTTGGCATAATATTCTATTCCCCTTTTGAAACAATTCAATGGTACTTTTTTTTCTCTATCCAGCTCCTTTGTTGTAGAAAGACAGCCTTGCATGCCTACGCATCCTCAGAGACCATTGGTTCTGAAGACTGGAGTACAATTTACAGTAAAGTTGAGGTAATTCATTTTATACCTGATGTGATTCATGTATGGTGTTTTTTTAAAATAACTTTAAAGGAAGTGATTAATTCCAAACTAAAGTAAAAGGGAAGACTCCCTCAAGTCAAGTTTGATCCGTGCAAGTTTACCAAAATGGTTTGTTACTGCTTTCTTTCAGAATATTTTATGATTTCCTAATTTAGCCAATTAGGAAGAAAAAATATGCTGCATCTTAACATTCTGAAGAAAAAATGTTTCTCAGTAGAATATCATTTTAAATAAAATTGCCAATATTTTAGGGCATGTTAACATTTACTTAGATGTAGATTTTGCTGCAGACCTGATTCTGCATTCTGCTGTTTCTTCTATTGAAGATAGAGAAGTACTCAAGTTCTGGTTCTTAGACTCATTTCATGATTGGTTCCACACCTCAAGCAGAGATGGGTAATAGATCTTAACTTGGAATCACAAAGGCTGGATTTTACAAAACACATGAGCAAAATGAAACATACTGTGACTTAGTATGATATGTGAACCTTATCCATGTCACAGGACACAATTCTTTAACTATATAGCAATTGTCTTCCATATGTTTTTAGTTAGATGCATGTAGGATTGCGTTGAGTGAATTTGCATGCAGAGCTCTTACCCAGGCTGGCTCAAACTAGGATTGGCTCCTGCAATGATCTCATAAGTAAAATATTAGGCTGGTGTGCACATTATGGTTTTTCAACTCAGTGGTGCCTCCTCTGATGACAGGTGTTTCTTTTAATCTTGAGGGGTTCTGGGTGCTCTCTGAGCTTTCTTGTTATCTTGCAGATGTATCAGTGCTAGTTGATGTTACCTAGTTTGGGTAATGAAATATCTGCAAGAAAACAAGCAAGCTCAGGGAGCATCAAGGATCCCTCATGTCAACCCTGAGCTACTAATATTCTCCTTTATTAAGTTTTTAGTCTTGTAAAAATTTGAGCAGCAGAGGAGGGGCAGCCCTCCTTGTAATCTTCACCACCTGTTAACAAACAAACAATCAAACAAAAAAGAATAATTTCTGTTTACTGTGATCTTCCAAGAATCAAAGAATCTTCTGTTACAAAGATACAAATTAGACCTTGGGCATAAGGAAAATGCTTTTCTTGAAGGGCTTAAGGAAGATCATCAAGACGCCCCCCCCCAAAAAAAAATCATTTTTTTCTTTATTCTTACTTTTGTGTTGCTTGAACTTCCAGATTGCTGGTGAAGCTCCAAGAGCTGAATTACAAATTGAAAGTGCAAGTTCAGTTTGATAAGTAAGTGACCCGTTGCCACCATTCAGATGAATGATCCCTGATCTTGATTTCCACACTTTCCACACTTTTACTTTTGCCCTACTTTCTACACTCATCTTGCAACCTTTGTCTGGCATGATTTCCATTTCTTCCAGTTGTACAGTTTTTATGTATTTTGCTCTAGTATCTAAAATTTCTGATTAACTGCTTTCGTTGGTTACTCATCAAAGTTAATTACTATTAATTTATTTTTAAACAAGAGAATCAGAAAAAAATCTTGAATATAAGGATTTGTAATGCGCTTTGAGTTCATCCAATAGAGTTCTCCAAGCTTTCTGGGTTGGTGACCTGGAGGGGGGAAAGAGGGGAGAGGCGCATGTGTGGGCAGGGGCATGTGCAGACGTGCAAGTGTCTACAGCATTCGTAATGAGGCTCGTGCAAGTGGGGCCACAGGTGCCCGTGACAAGGTTTGTGCGAATGGGGCTGTGAACACCAGCAATGAGGTTCATGTGAGTGGGGCCGCAAATACCTGCAACGCTCATAGTGACGCTTAAGTGTGCATTGGCTGGCTGCTTACATGGCCCCAGTGGCCATTAGGCCACTGCCCGCAGGTTGGTGACCCTTGATCTAGTACTTTCCCTGCTCAGTTAAAAAATTCAGTACTATAGCATTCTTAACAGATGGCCCTCCAGCCTGTTTAAACACATCCATTTAGGAAGGATCTATTTATCTATTAACAGCTCTTAACCTTTTTCCTGATGTCCCATAAAAATGTTATTTCCTATTGTTTAAATGAAAATAAAATACTTTGCTGCTGACAGCTACGGTGCCATGATGACTCCATTACTTTGAAGAAAAATGCCTTTATATATGCTATGTGACTTGGAAACTACAACAGGAATAGCATTTCATCCATCAATGTTACAATTATAGCTACAGACCCTGCGACTCTCATTCTGATTGTAGTGAGCTAAGGAACAAAAAATGCAACCCAGAATAAGTAGAAGGTTCAGTCAAATGTCAGTCAAATAGCCTTTACCTTTACTTCATCTGTCAAAATATATCTGTTCACAGACTACAAATAATTCTTGTTAACAACTACTTGTTCAGCAATTGTTCAAAGTTATATGAAGGAGGGGTACTTAATGACCAGTTCTCATAGTTGCATCCGTTGTAGCATCTTGCAATCACACAATGACCATTTGCAACCTCCTAGGTCAACTTTTTATAAGCAAAGTCAATGCAGAAGGAGGCAGGAGGTCACAAATGGCAGGAGGCCATCTCATGATGAGATGCTGCTACTGGGCAGGATTTGCCTCATTGCACAACTGCACAGCAACTGGGACTGCTATTACAAATTGGTCAGGTTATGTAACGCTGCAGCTTACAAATGCTTTACTTAACAACCCTGGCCATAATTAGCATTGGTAAGTGGGACTACTTGTGCTCCATGTGTAAGTTTTATTTTGAAAATAAATAATTAGATAATTCATTTTGGGTGCTTTAACAGAGATGCAGTCTCTAAATGGAAACTCCACCCGCTCAAACCAGCATATCATAAAAATGGCTACCCTGTCATTCATCTCAAATTTTAAACCGTCTTGAAAAAGAGAGTCTGCAGATTTTCTGGGTCATTAAGAACTATACTTGGGGCAACAAGTTCCGTAATGTTGGGGAACTCACAGAAAACCCCATTCTCTGTCCCATTTCCATTCCACCTTGCAATGCTAGGGTCTTAAGGAAGCTCTTGAGCTTCTTTAGAATGGGCAAAATCCTTTGGCGTAACTCCATTCTAGGTTGGAGAATATATAAATACTTGGGCCATAAATACCAGGCCCGTTTATTATTTGCATTAATAGCAATTCATGAGTTTATTTAAAAGTAACCACACTCAGTACTGGATGCCAAATGTTTCAAAAATGACCTTTGTAGAAGTGAAAGAGGCTCCAGCTTCACAATAGGCTTTTAAGTGAAAATGATGTGAGAATAGGCTTACAGAAAACACTTACCAATTGCAGATTTCTCAGTGTCCTTAATCTGAGCAGTTGATTGTGACAGGAAAAGGGGGGAGATTTTTCCAAGTTACATAGAGATAACTTGATAAAAAGTTTAATGGAACGATTTTTGGAGAATGCTGAATTGTAATTGTGAAATCCTATAGAACAATGGCTGCCTTGTCACTTCATAAGCTGACCTTTTAAAATTTTATTTTGCAGAGACGTCAGTGAGAAAGTCACAGTGAAAGGGTACGTTCAATCAAGTTTGTGCCTGTTCTTGCATTTTTTGTAAAATAACAAATAAGGTTATATCATTTGTTTTCACTTGTCTCATTTGTAGGTTTAGAAAATTCAACATCTTGGGGACAAATACCAAAGTATTGAACCTGGAAGAGTCAAACGGGAGCCTATCAGCAGAATTTAGACACTTGGTGAGGTGTTTGTGGTATCTCTGTGATTTGATATACTGAAGTTGCTTTGGCTCCTTGTTAGTTATCTTTTTGCACTTGATGTTGATTTTTTATAGAGCTTTTTATACCTTTTGAAGCTTATCCCAATCTTGTAGACTCCAGATAGCACTGAGCAGAGTAATAATACAAATATAGTGAAAAACCGCAACAAGAAATAAAAACCGTAATAAAAAAAGCATACCCTACCATGAACTCAATTAAATAGTCAACTCCAGTTGAAAGCACTTTATCCTAGTGATCTCTGACTGAGACAAGGATGTCAGTTTATGCTACAAATGGTTCTCTGACTATGTTTCCCATTCATGAGGACATGGGGGAGAAGTTCATGATTTAAGATTTTGGTTCTCCAGTAAGAACTATTTCATGCAGTCTCATATAACTTTGAATAGGGTTGACAGTTCTTCTTTCTTTGAATAGACTCCAAGATTCTTTCAAGTTCTTTCTGCACTTTTGTCATTCTTCCTTTTGTCTTGCTTTAGTTTTAGTACTTTTTACCACTTTGTAGAATTGGACCCAGAGTGTGATGACCCAGAGTGTAACACAAACGTAACAAAATCTGAAACGTCAATAAATGTCCTTTAATGCCTCCAACTTGGCCCCATTGTTCAATAATACTCAGTTGGAGATAAAACATACTCAAAAATAGTCTTCAAAAGAAAGCAATATAGTCTGAATTTAATGAGCAGATAGAGGTGAAAATAAAACCAAACAAACTACAATGATGAAATTTCCACAGCGGAACAGGAGAGGTATTTACCAAATTCAAGCAGATAACAAAGCACAGTCTGTTGGAAGGATGCCAACCAAGATAACTTCAGACCAAAATAATGGCAACCTGTGTTTTAACAGTCTCTTTTATATACTCGTCTCCCCAGCTGTAACTGATGAGGATCATTGCAAACCTCTCTCGCAAACCAAGTTGTTGCCTTCTCCATTCCTCCCTGCGTGTCCTAGGATGCAGAGGGGATGGGCCTGGTCCTTCCTCTGACTGCCCAGCCAGCCTCAGCCCTTCCCCAGCCTCCTCCACAACCTCCCGGAGCCACACCTCCACTCCCTGTGAGCTGTTCCTCCTCTACCTCAGAGTCCTACTCTACCAAGGGAATGACACAAAGTGACTATTTTACAATGGAGCCCAGCTTCCTTGAACAGAAATCTAATAATGGGAATTAATTTGGTTCATTAGTCATTGTTGTGGAATCATATCAACTCCTGTATTATAATGGGGAGGAGGAGTAATATTGGAAATGTTTTACTTTTTAAAGTAATCATGTATATTATATTCAAAAATTTTACAATATGATTCTCTTAGCAATTTATCAGTTATTGAAGATTTGCAGTTTTTTTTTAAGTACTCTGTCAAACCTTTAGGAAACAGGTATTGCCTGGTGTCTGAAATGCATAGTATTTATCTTTAAATCATTCTCTAAATGAAAGTTTCTTTCATTTTTTTTGATAACTTAAAATTTGTTATAGTTTAGAGATAGGCTAAAATAAAACCAAAAGTCTATAAGGGTAGATTATTGTGGCATAGGCACAGCTAATCAAATTGCTCACATTTTCTATATTGTGACTTTAAAAATATTTATATATATATATCTCCATCTCACTTTTATGTGGCTTGAGGCAGTTTACAATAGAACACAATATACATAATAGAAAACAAAGATAAAAACACATAGCCAAGCATGATCTAATCTTTCAGGTTTAATCCATACCCAGGGCTGAACACATTGATTCCTTAAGATGAAGTGCAATCTTTTTGAAAATAATCTGATTTATTAATATTATCTGCCAGTTCAAATAGTGAGAGTGTGAGTTGCTGTCAAGATATACTTCACACTTTTCTTTCTGCAGTTTAAAAGGTTTGAAAATCAAAATCTCCACAATACACTTCTATAATACTAATAATCAATAGGATCATCTCCAGTTCAATTTTCTGCTAGAAGCTTCTTGGTGAATCTCAGTCTGGCAGGTTTATAGGGGAATTGTTAAAAGTTGCCTATATAGTTGGGGAATGGTTTTGTGTGAGATATTCCTATAAGAAGAAATGGAGCCATAACATATGAAAAATAGTGAAAGGGGCTACATTGAGCAAGAAACTTTTAAACCATACATCAAAAAATGTTGACAGGTATATGGTTTAACCCAATTTTCTTCTTTTGTAGCAATTAAAAGAGCAAAAGAATGTTTCAAGATCTAATGAGGTAAGGAAAATATGCCTTAGCACTTTAGTTTTGTTTATTTTATTTTGTCAAGCAATTATTAGACAACAGGTAGAAGTACAATAAGGTACAAGTATAATACATAAGTATAATAAGTGAATCTGTATAGCTTATTTGAAAACTCCTAAATCAGAACGCTGTAAAGTTGCCAAGTTTAGGCTTCCACGCTGCAGAAACAAACACCAATAACTTCATCACTAATTGTGTAATAGCAACAGATACACCAGTTCTTGCCTTTCAACTTTTCACATAGAACAGGGTTCTCCAAGACTTGTGGACATCAACTCCCAATTTCTCAGCCAGTCATACTGACTGGAGAATTCTGAAAGATTGGGAGTGCAGAATAAGGATTTATTCTTACCCGTTTTGAACCTGCAACTAGGTTAGAACAGGAGCAATCAGCGATGAGGTTTGCAGGAATTCTGAGGTCCATCTCAGGAAGGAAACACAAAATTGTAGTACTCCAGATGGCAGAGGGTGAAATTGATAGGTGGAATTCTCGTCTGAATTAGGGCAACCCAAAATTTAATGTAGATAAAAATTCTTAGCCAATTTGGAATTGGGATTCCTTTTTATCCCATTTTAAAAGTCATTCAAATTTCTTTAAAGGGAACCTTGCATTAGTATCAAACTCACTCGTTTAGGATCAATTTGGTTCTTCCTCACTTTCTTTGGTACCAAATACATCAAATGAAAGGGATTTCCCTGTAATGACCCCACATGCAATAAATTTTAACAAAGTAACAAATTAATGACTCCCCATAGGTGATAGAATGTCTTGTTACTTGAAATTGATTTGGTGCTATCATAGCTAGCTCTTAAAGAAAGCCCTAAAAGTCTACTTATTGGCCCATGTTCCCTCTTAATAAGTCTCATCCTTCTTTCTAAGTTCCATATTATAACTGCTGCTTTAATAGTTTAGAAGGGGTTGTTTAATTTCTGTAATTAATTTCAATTGGGATTGCATTTTTTCTCTTTTTATAGATATTTATAGAAGATGTGCTGCAATATTTGAAAGAATAAAATATGAGGCTGTCAGATAGCTAGTTAGTTAAGTACGTTAAACTAAAGTTCCTCTCTTATTTTTTAAGGGTCCTCTCATTGTAACTGAAGAACTCCATTCCCTCTGTTTTGAGACAAAATTGGAACAGAATGGCCATATAATTGAACTGGAAGTAAGTAGATTAAAAAAATAAAGGCATAGGGTAGCATATCATTAACTTCATTTCAGAAGAAGTCGATAATCTTTTGGTGGCTAAGGGCCACACTTAACATTTGAAGGAAGATCGAAGATCACAAAGTAAGGATGGTCATTTCACTTGTAGGTGACACATCTTTAATAGAATTGTTTTAGGATTATTACAACTTTTATTAGTTTCTAAGCTCAAAATACCCGGAAAAATGTGCTACCAATTTTCAACAGTCTTAGTCAAAGAGTTTCCAAGGGCTGACAAATGCAATGTGCAGGCTTTAGGGCCACAGGTTTGTTCATTTGTTCAATTTGTATAAGTTGCCCATCTCACATTTGTGTCTGTGGGTGGCTCATACAGTAAAAATGAAAATGAACACAATTAAAACAATTTTTAATTTAAAAATGTAATTAAAACTGTCATCTTTCTCACCTCTCATCTTTCCTACTACCTTCTCCTATTGGTATATTATGATTTATCAATTGTTGTTTTGTATCTTATGATTGGATCTTACGATTTATGATCCATGACTTATCACTTGGTTGTTTGTATGCACCGGAAACAAAGTCCTTGTGTGTCCAATCACACTAGGCCAATAATTCTATTCTAAAAATCACTAAAGCATAATATAATCTCCAGGAGAGGGCAATCAATCTTTAAAAACAGTGTTGTAACCATTTCATGGGCTGCATTCCACTATCAGACCCCCAGGCACCATAGCAAACCCATCATAAGACCCTTCCAAAAACCAATAGGATGTAGCCAGTCTGACCTCAGAGGCTGAGTGCCACAGCAGGAAAAGTTGCCCTCCTGGATCTGCAGTGTCTCAATAACATTCCTTGTCAGACAGCACCCCAATAACATGTCTCTTGTGTTGGACTCAGTGGGAGAGGTAAATGTAACTGAGGAGATGTGATCCTCATCTGACCCAGCCCCATGCTGGGTAGGGCTTTATACGTCATTTCCAAACAATCCTTTCCACAAAGGTAGTCTAAAAAAATTTATTCCTTTAATGTTGCTCGCAAACATTGGGAATTACCCAGTGAATATTCATGGGTAAAAAGCACCAAAATGTTTGCTGCAGTGTACCATTGGATGCAATATATTGGAGGCTGTTTTATTACTGGAAGTGATGGTGTGCATGTCAGTGTCACCATACAAATGACAGGAGAAGTTATTTTGTCAAATGTCCTAATGTAAATGGTGCCAATTAATGATCATGTTTGTGAGATGGTGTCGTGATACCTCAAAAGCAATTAGATGGTTACTCTTTGTTCACTTGGCTGCTTGCATTCATTGTCTGTTTCTCTGAATTGATAAATGGAAACTGAAGTGATAGTGGCTATAATCACTGCTTCTCCACTGCAGTTGGTGTAGTCGGTGATGCTGATACAAGTCTTAAGTAAAATTAAGAAAAGTTTGACGTGGTGATTTAGGAAAAACGATCCTCAGTCATTAAAGCAGCCTTACACCTAAAATCAGACTGTCCTTGCTTGGCTTACTGCATCGATTGGTGTAGGATGTTTTGGAGCTAAAGCCCAAAGCTCTGTTTCTTCTTTGGGGCTAGACCACAGGTGTTTAATGTGACCTTCTAATTAGTTTTCATTATTTCATTACCCTATTCTTCGTAGCTGTTGCTCAGATCTTTGGATGATCCAAAGATCTGTGTTTTGCTTAAATCCTGAATCACTCTAATGATTAAATGATACCGCTGTATATTGTGAAGTTAATAATCTGATGTCAAACTTATGCCATTCAGTTCTGTTGGTTTAGGGCAGGGGTGTCAAACTTAAGGCTCGTGGGCTGGATCCGGGCCACGGGGTGCTTAGATCTGGCCCACAGGGCCACCCTGGAAACAGGGAAAGATTGGCTCGTGGTGCCTCTGCCAGGGAAAACAGAATTTGGGTGAGCCACCTGTGGTTCCCCCAGGCTCTGCTTTTAGCTGCAATGGCCTCCTGCAGCCTTCTGCCAGCAAAAACGGAGCTCAGGGCCACCCCTGAGCTCCATTTTCACTGGCAGAGGATTTCAGGAGGCCATTGCACCAAAAAACGAGGCTGGATGCCCATCCTAGCCATGGCCACCCCATCCCGCCCCCCAGGTCAAACACAACCCTGATGTAGCCAGCCCTCAATGAAATTGAGTTTCACACCACTGATTTAGACCCGTAACTCTCATCTTCCCTGCATGGCAGAGGAGGATGGAATTAAAAGCCTAATACTTGGAGAAGGCTGGATTGAAGCTTTGGCTGGATTCACAATTTACATACACGGATTATAAAATGGTCTTGCATTCCTAACTTATTTAAAACTACTTAAAAAGCCATGACCATGTGATATGTGAACCTAGCTTCATTTTTTTCTGCCTTTAGGTAAAATTCACCATCGATGAATATTTGCTTAACTTGTCTCTGTCCTTTTCCCTTTCTAGACCACTTCCCTTCCAATTGTTGTGATCTCAAACGTCAGCCAATTACCAAGTGGATGGGCTTCCATTTTATGGTACAATATGCTGACGGACGAACCCAAGGTAACTTAAGAAGCACCTTTTCTAAGATTGAAATTGCTAAGAATCACTGCATTCAGACTGGCTGCTTTTAAAGTCTCCATCATAAACGCTTTTACAAAGAATTTAGTCTTGTTGAACATAACAGAATTTATGACATTGTACTAGAAGCATTTTATATCGTAAAACTGCTTTAATCTTTGGTAGAAAAAGATGCATTCTCTAATCAGATCAAATAAGTGCACTATTGCTGTGATTGCTTTTTTCTGTTCACTCAAAAAAATCCAGCTTATTACATTCATCTGTTTATTACAAAATTGATGTTTATATGGCTTTTGGAGGAGATATTGAAAAATGTCTTGATTTATAATGATATAGGTAAAAATGGTTGTTTTCTGGAAGAGGGGAGATAGCATACCTATTCCTATCAAATCATTTATAATTCCAAAATTTGGAATATTCCAAAATATTCCAGTTTTTTTTTTAAAAGCCAACAAAAATATTCTGGTTTTCTGTTTGAGGAAAAAAGAAAGAAAATTAATACAATAACCTTCAAATCTTTGATACTGTTTAATAAGAGTGGACTTTTCTGATTTTGTGATTGAGTACAAGGAATTACAGACATTTCTACTGATTTCTCCCCCCCACCCCCCAAGTAAAATACAACTGCCTGATTACTGAGTGTTAGTATCTGATTTTAGGCTTGTTAATACTGCTTGCTTTGGCATCATGGATTGGTTTAGACCAGCGGTCCACACCCAACCGTTCCAACTCTGTGGACCCGTGGGGGGGAAGGGGATGGTTCTGCACAAGTGGTATGCATGCTCACGGCTTTCACAAATTGAGTTTTGTGCACTTGCCACCTTGCCCGTCGATTACATGGCCCAGTTCCCTTGGTTTAAACTTGAATGGCCAACATACTCCTTAGTTTTTTTTATGCAATCTTAGATTGGTTTTTTGCCAAGTTAACAGTGCTTCTTGTAGCATCTGAGTGCCAGCATTTTGGGTGGCAAAACTTCCTACTTAAACATCAAATCTCAGGCAGTTGCAAGCACCCCTGTGTGGTAGTTAGAGTGCCCTTTGTCTATCTGTTGTTGTTTTTTCAAATGATGGAAGTTAAAAACCAGAGATATTGGAGATTGTCAGTTCGGAGTGCCTCACAGAATTTCAGAGCAGGATGGTGCTGATGTAGATTCAGATCCCATCTCATTCCTGAAGCTCATTGAGTGACTTTCAAGTGTCCCCATTTATTTGTTATTCCTTTAAAGTCTTATATATCTAGCTTACTCTTCATTCGTATCTGGTCAGTTCAAAGCATTTTGCTTCAAAACATTACAAACATAAAACTTATCAGCATCTGTTAAAGGCGCCTCATTTAAGCGAGTAACTGTCTTTCCAAAAGACATTCCTAAAAAGTAGCTTCTGGAGGGTTATGGGTAAACAGGTGGGATAGGTCTTTCTTGGGCCCAGACACAGCTACCTTCTCCTTGCCCTGCTATGAAGCATAAGCTCAGTAGACAATCTGTCAACTGTGCCTCACAGAAATGCAGGAGATGTCATCTGAGCTACTTGAAAGAAAGGTGGGGGATATTTGCTTTATATATCCAAATCTGCTTCCATTTTAGAATTTGTCCTTCTTCCTTAATCCACCATGTGCAAGATGGTCACAACTTTCTGAAGTGCTGAGCTGGCAGTTTTCTTCTGTCACAAAAAGGGGACTCAGTTCAGATCAGCTGGACATGATCGGGGAGAAGTTGCTTCGTAAGTGGCATAATAAATCCTCTGTAGGGTGAAAACTGGAAGGTCTCAAATCATCATTTCCAGAAGCCCTCTGAATCTTCACACTGCCTCTGGTTTTAGCGTTAGTGCTTGATTGTTCCTGCTGCCACCACCTATCTTTCAGTTAGCCTCTCATCTTTTGTCTATTTTTGAGTGATTAAAAGAGCAAAATGCAAAAGACAAAAATAATTTCAGTAGTGGAACCTCTTGGCTATATAGCATAGAGCAGGGGTGTCAAACTCAAGACCCATGGGCCGAATCCAGCCCATGGGGTGTTTAGGCCCACGGGGCTGCCCTGGAAACAGCGAAGGGCCAGCCCATGGTGTATCTGCCAGCAAAAACTGAGCTTGGGAGGGTGACGTGCGGCCCATGAGTGACATTGAGCTGGCTACGCCTACCCTGACACTCCACCCCCTGAAATCAAACAACCCTGATGTAACCCTCAATGAAATTGAGTTTGACACCCCTGAATAGAGGCGTGATAATGAGAGATTTTAGCTCTGCCTGATTTCTAAAAATGTGGTTTTAATTTTATTTAATTTTTTTGGATGGAGAATGTGTAGATCTCCTTTTAGGATAATAACAAAACAAAACACATAAACCAGGGGAATGCTGAAGTGAAGATTCCAAATTTATGAAACATATATTTTAAAATCCAATTCCGTACCTCCTTCAAAATCAGTCATGAACTAATAATTGTGCACTAATAATTGAACAGATGTGTTATGGCTTTTGGGTATTGGATAGTCCAACACATTTGGATGGGAACAAGTTAAGGAAAGCAGTCTTTAAGCTGCATGTTCCTCAGACTTTTTCTGGATGGTGATACTTAAAATTCAAAATACAATTTTTGCATGTGATTTAATCATAGCATTGTGTTCTACGTTAGTACAATATAAATGCATAAATGTTAGTAACCTGATAGAAATGCCTTGGTTTTTTTCTTTTTCTTTTAGCAAATGGATGTACTCCAGATGGCCTTATTTCATGGGCAAGATTCTGCAAGGTACGAGTCACTGTTCCTCAGCTAATGCTATGGAGATCAATGTAACTTAATATACAGCATTGCTCGTTGGATTTTCTTCCTACTATAAAAGAGTTCATCTGAATTATTCTTGGTTCTGGCTGAATCATGACTGGGATAAGACCAAAAAATGTTCTGAAATAGTTTGGAGCGGTTACGTTCATCAATGTAGACATGATCATAGGCTGCTCCAGTTCATGTACAGTGCAGTAGCCTCTCTGATGAACTTTCCTTTAGGCGTCATGTGATGTATAGATCCACCCATTATGGTTTAGTTCAACAGTAGGAAATGGGACCCTGACTCTGGAACAACTTAATGAACAAAGCTGAAATTGGGAGGAACACCCACCATAATTCACAGTCCTTACAAGCATCCATACCACCTTGAGCTGATCGGAGATGGGAATCTAATACTATCTGGAGGAGCCCTGGTTTTCCAGCTCTTCCATTGGGACTACTAAACTGTCTTCCATACTGGTGGTTTCTTGCCATGGAAGACGATACCTAGAACAGAAGTTGATCTCCAATGTGGCAAATAGATGTTTCCCATGCTATGTTAATAAAGTCTTTACTGTTTGAGGATTTATCAGGAGAAAGAAACCTTGCACAGGAGGTATCTCTTGCAAACAGTAAACAAAGAATAGGAAAGCTTTTTAGCTCCTAGATGCACTGTTTTTTTGTGGGGCGAATGGCAGTTTAATTCAATGAAGATGTTATCTGAGTAACAAAAAGTCTACAGAAAAACAACCAAATTCAGAGAGCACCAAGGACTCCACAGCCTAATTCTAGGAAGCAGAGTTTGAAAAAGGGAAGGTCAGGAACTACGGAATAATGGAGGCCTTGAAGCTGCAACTTATCCACTCTAATCATTTAGACACTCCTATTTTAAATATTCAGAAAAATGAGTGCAGCAAACACCAAGCAAGTGACAAGAAGTGAAACTTAAATTAAAACCTAACGCCCTTGAGACGATGCAAGATCAGTTTGCAGTTTTTACCACCTCAGCTTTTTGTCTGTTCTTGATTTCAGGAAAACCTGAATGATAAAAATTTCACCTTTTGGCTGTGGATTGAAGGGATCCTTGAATTGATTAGGAAACACTTGCTCTTCCTCTGGAACGATGGGTAAGCATCTTTTGCTCAGGGCCCAAATAGAAAAATCAGACAAGTCTGGAATGATTTCAGTTGGACCTCACAACATATTGAAGTCTAATAATATTGACAGTCAGTAATAAAAAAGAAAATGACTCCTTTGGACTCCATTAACTTTAGAACCCTAAAAGGAAGAATCCTGTAGTGTGTGAACGGAACCTGTTTTTCTTTTCTTCTGCACAATGAGATTTCTTTCTCTTTCCTAGCATCTCTCTCCCCCCCCCCCCCCGGCTTAGCTTTGAAAATCTGTTTTTCAGACTTGAGGCTCCACAGCAGATTTAGAGAGCATTTGCAGTACTGTGGCAGGAAAGGGAAAATTTCTTCTGCTTTCTTTCCCTTAATAGAAACTGCATCGCTAATGGCAACTTACCAGGTTGTTCCATACTTTGAACCTGTACAGTTTCAATGTGTGATGCTATGATAGTGCTAAAGAAAGAGCATTGTTCCCATGCCTGCTGCGTGTAAAAAGGCTTAAGAAGAAACGGAGAAGCGATATGGGAGTTTCACACTAATCTGGGAAGGATTATAAAGTTAACATCACCATGAAAGAACCATTATAGTCTTTTTCCACTGTTCTTTTAAAGTGCTTCTAGATTTCTGCAGTGACTAAAAAGTCCATTTTGTAATGAGGTTAACAGCACTTTTTCTCTATTATGAAACCCACAAGTGCAGCCAAATGCTTTTTTTAATGGCGCAGCATAAAATCGATTGACAGAATGTAGGCAGCTGCCTGAAGGAAAAGTAAATTATTTTACTCAGCATTAATTTTGTAGTTTCCAGTATCAAGGTTAGTTAGAATGAAATAGCATTGTTACAGGTAAGTCCTCAAGTTACAATCACAATTCAAACAGTCACTAAATGAACTGTTGTAAGTTGAGGACTACCTGAACATGAACCCAGGACATTGCAGCTGTCATAAATGTGAGTCAGTTGTCAAGCGTATGAATGCCATTCATGGGGGTGGCAACGATCACGTGTGGAAAATGGTCATAAGTCACTTTTCTGTGCCGTTGCGACTTTGAACAGTCACCAAGCAAATTATTGTAAGTCGAGGACTATCTGGAGTCCCTTTGCTGGAATTCTTCTGATTTCCCTTTAAGAACCAAAATTCTTTTGTGTACGTGGGGAGAGGGACTTTCTCACAGCCTTCTAGTGAGGGGGCTGTTTTTTCCCCTCAGGGACAAGGGCTGGGGGGGGCCTGCTACTGGGGATCATGCAGATAACAGTCCTTGAATATTTAAGCTCCCGCTTCCTCGTTTTGGTGGAAAGACTCTGGAAGATCCTAGTTCTGTGCTTAAAAAGCAGTGCCCCTCCTTTGATACAAATGTTCTTTCCCCGTGTTGCAGGCACATCATGGGCTTTGTCAGCAAGGAGCAAGAGCGCATCCTGCTTAAGGAAATGGAGACAGGAACGTTTCTTTTGAGGTTCAGTGAAAGTAGTCGAGAAGGAGCGATCACTTTCACCTGGGTGGAAGGGCCAGCAAACGGTAAGCAAAACTTGGAAGAAAGGCTTTGTGTTGTGACGAGCCTACTGATCCTCTTTATGCTGGGAGCTCTGGTGCTTTTAGGAAAGGAGATTCTGTACCTTTGATTTGGAAAAAAATCATAGTTTTAACAAGCCCAGGCCTGGTTTCTCCCAGTAAGTTAAATCCTTATTAATTTCCACAATTCCATGAAATAAGAACCCAGTTGCCTTCGTTTAATAAAATCTCATATTATACAGTATATAGGGGAATAATGCAATAGCATTCTCTTTATCTACTCAAGGTTGATGAGTGGATTTTCTTTCTATAAAATTAAGAGATAATTAAATTTGGTGTCTTTCTTCTTTCCCTCTCCCCTGATCTCCCTCTTATATATAATTTATTATACTCATACATACAAATCAATCAAATAAGTATTGAGTCAGGCCAGGGCCCGTGAGCTCTCTAGAGTGACTGGCAGAGGCCATGACAGGAGCTCAACTTTCGTCCAACAGTACAGGCAGGGATGCTGTCCTGGCCTACTTTGTGTCAACAAGAAGAGCAGGAGCACTAAGGAGAGCCCAGCCTTGCTTTTTTAGCAAGAGTTAGATGGACATTCAAACACATTCAGACTAACAAACTGTTTTACGTGTCACTATGACAATTTGAGTTCCAGAAGCCCCTCAACAGAAGATAGTGGATTAGGTTTAAAAAAAAAAAAAAAGTAGCAAGGACCACCTCACAATTTTTACTGAAGGAAAAATAGAAGTAAAGCGACCAAAGGAAAAGCAGCAGATTAAAATCCACAGAGCTACCTAATTAATCTTGTCATTTGAATGAAAATACTACTAGGTCCAGAGACTTCCCTAATAGAATATTGTATAGGAGGGAAATCTGTAACAATCCCAAATGCAGTCCTCAACGTATGCTTGCGCATGTAAGCAGCATACATTCAAAATTATTTTCAATTCATGGTTGCCTGAATTGCATAAATATATGTTTAAGCAATGTTTGAGATTGCAATGAAATGCTTAGGTCCACAGGGTGAAGTGTTGGGGATCTCAGAGCTTCTTTGTCAGAAGTCCTCTTGGTCTTCACACTGGCCTCACCTCCTGCATTGAAGTACCAACTTTGTTGTTCCTCCTACTGCCACTTCTGGATGCACTTACTAGGAGATTGAGAACCCTGGTTATAGGAAAAGAGTTTAGACCGATACCCGTGGTATCTTTCTGGCCATTAAAAAGTGAAAGTGCAGAAGTTTAAGTTATTCCCTGGTTCTATAGCAGTGAGGTTTGGTGAGTAAGTTTCAGCATTTCTTCTACCTTTTTGACCACATCTCTCAGAACATAAAATAAATACAATTTTCTCTTAAAAAAATAAATGCTTAAATATTAACATGCAAACAATTCAGTGCATAAGGATATAAGTATACTGGTATTCTGCTCAGATCTCATTAACAAACAAATGGCAAATTAAAAAGAAAATACAATTTATGTGGACAGGCCACAAGATGGCAGTGGTCTGCTACAGATGAATTCTCTCTGAAAGAATTTCAAAAAAGTTGCTGGAGAGGATTCATATTATTACTAAAGAGATTATAAAGTGTAAATCAGGAACTAGAGGGAACCATGGTAATTCTATAATTTTCCCTGCTTCCATCCATAGACCTTTTAGCAACTTCTATACAATAAGGGGGAAATATAGCATGGAGAGGAAAAAAAAACTTCCATTGCTCCAATTCTGGCAAAGTTTTTGATAAATTTCTACACTATTAAGCTTCTGTTAAAGGTAGCCTCAAATAAATCAATGAAAAATATTGAACTGAAGAAGCTTCTTGGATGAGAAGTGAAACATCTAAAAAGAAAAAACAAGGAAGTCCAGTTGCCTCTTCAAAGAAGCACCTTTGGGACAATTGAAAAATATGTTTGCTGTATATTGAAAAACTTGTAACATTTATCTTCTCCTGTTTCCTTCCCCCCCCCACCATCCCACTTTGCCCCAGATCCATCCTTCCACTCTGTGGAGCCCTATACAAAAAAGGAACTCTCTGCCGTCAGCCTGCCGGATATCATTCGCAATTACAAAGTGATGGCGGCTGAAAATTTCCCCGAGAACCCACTGAAGTACCTGTATCCATGCACTCTCAAAGACAACGCATTCGGAAAATACTACTCCAGACCCAAAGATTGTGAGTAGTTTTCTCTCTACAACTTGCCTTTTTCACAAGGATAACATTCTCATGTTCAGATGTGCAGGCTTGTGTGCCTCAATTTTTGCATGCCCTCGGAAACGACGTTAGGAATCTCAGCTTTCCCTGCTTCTATCCCTGAATCCGACAATAGTTCTTTGGAATTTAGACATGGGGGTGGGCAAAGGAGTAAGATGGGTGCCGTATGAAACATGCCACTGACTTTCATTTGTAAGCATTGCTTGCACACAAGCTGCTTCCGGTTTTGTTTTTCAAAAGTTGGCTTGGCTCATGTCTACATTGATAACAATTTGAAAGATGTTTACCTCATGACCAGAATTCTTTCTATTAAGCCTTTCCCCCCCTTTTTGCACTCATCTAAATTGACACAAATGTAAGTTGGGAGAGATGTCTAGACCAGTGTTTCTCAATCATTTTGCATTGGTGCCACCTCCACAGATATGGGACAGTAAGAGGTCCATTTTCTGGTGTCAACAAGACACTATTTTCAGTATAATACACATTGCCTATCTGCTGGTCCCTTGGCACTTGATGTACACACACACACACACTCACACACACACACACAGACGTTACATGTTTTTCACAATGGCCCCTTGCAATATCGAATGGTCATATGGCCCCCAGTTGAGAACTTCTGGTCTAGACATTAGCTTGGTCTGGATATTTTCTGTTTTCCAGATGCAAAAATAAACTTTTTATGTGCTTCTTTCTAGCTTCGGAACCCATGGATGTGGTTTCTGGAGGCAAAGGATATATCAGAACTGAACTAATCTCTGTATCTGAAGTGTGAGTTGCCAAGAAGAGAACAGAGTACACTTTGAAAATACTGGGGTGTCACCTTTAGCACTGGCCAATATCACACTGTGACAAAATAGAAACGTTCTTCCCAAGATTGCTCAGGTGCTATGGTCGTGCACCTTCAGCGTGGCCTCTGGAAACCAGCATAGCTGAACGGTGGTCTTGGTTTTATGCTTGTACTGAATCTGGAAGCTAAGATTGGATCCCTTTCCCTTCCCCCCTACCACCAGCATCAATAAACAAGTTTGCAGGGCAGGACACGACTTCTGCTTGCCCACACTTTGTTCTTGCATCACATGTCGAAATAAAGTTGTGGATTTTGGTTAATGATATAATGTGCCTCTTTGGTTTTTAATAGAGTGTTTATTGGGGGTGGCGGGGGGGGGGGTAACAGACTTCCTCAGTTTATTGGGGATGTCTGAGTGTGTGATAAAGTTGGCAGCAGTATTATAAACTTTTGGCTGGATTGAGGGGAGGATGAAGAGAAGGAATTGAAATGGCAAAGTGTTGTCCCAGGTCAGGGTTTTTTAAGAGGGGAGGAGGATGGTAAGCAGAGCATTCACCATGAAAAGGCTGGCTGGTTGCTTTCAGTCGTCCTTTCTTCTTTCCACTCCTGCTTGACTGCTGCATGCTGTTCTCCCATGTCAGGTCTCTATTCTGCTTTCCCCCACCCCCCAATTCAGTTGTTGGCTTTATGTTTCTTTTGTGCTGCATCATCCCTGGCTCTTTGCAACGTCCTCTTTACAGCAACCAAACAAAACCCTTCCCTTCCTGAAAGTATTTTTAAATCCTTCCTTAGATTTTAAATGTATTGACAGGGCTGATGTGCAACGCTTACGTATTTGTACCTTGTCCAGTTTGTATGTAATGGTCATAACATTGTTGTAAGTTGGTTTTCTATTCATAAAGATCCTTAAAACCATTGGCCCGCAAATAAACCTGACTAGTATATAAGTAGTCCTCAACTTAAGACCACAATTGAGATGAAAATTTACATTACTGAGAAATATGTTAAGTGAGTTTTGCCCCATTTTATGCCTTTTCTTGCCACATTTGTTAAGTGAATCGCTGCAAGTTATTAAAGTTAGCAACACACTTGTTAAGTGAACCTGGCTTCCCCATTGACTTTGCAAAAGGGGATCCCCAGGACGGAAACAGTCGGAAATATGAACCAGTTGCCAAGCATCCAAATGTAAATCTCACGATCACGTGGATGCTGAGACATGTTCATAAGTGTGGGAAATGGTCTGAAGTCATCACGCTTTTCCTGTGCCGTTGTAACTTTGAACAGCCACTAAATGAACTGTTAAGTCGAGGACTACCTATACAGGAAATAGTTCCTCTTTGTGTCGTGTGCATCATCTGTGGATTTTGGGGAGTGGAAGAAAAGATACAGCTCTTTACAGGTCATGGATGATCTTGTGGCTGTAGGTGGGCAGAGAGATTTCAATTAAGAATGTTCCTTAAATTCCACCTCCTCTAAATCTGCCAGGAAACCAAAAGGAAATGTAATCTATCAAATTTGCATAGGATTTTAACTGGTTTAGAGAGAAAAGGTTAGTTTTCCAATTTGGGAAGGGGTTGTATGAATAATCTATAGTAGGCAATGTTTTAGAAAAAAGGAATCTTTTGCTATGTGACAGTGAAGAAAAACTCTAAACAGGTGCATTGAATCACGTTTAATATGTTTACTTTTCCGCTCTAATGCAATCCCATGTCATGTGCAGGTTTAGTAGTGCGGGGTCTTTAAGCTAGCAGGGAGAAGTTCTATCCCAAATGTAGCAACCTAAATCCAGCTGTCTTCACCTGCATGTTTTGTCCATGATGGGCTTTGGGGATAAAATATTCACAAACATAACATTTCTCTCTTTTTTTAAAATTAAATTGGTCAAAATAGCAGTGATACCCCTGAAATAAAGGTACTTGTCCTTGCTGCCTCTTTGCTGAATTTATTTGAGAATCCTAAAGCACAAGTTCTGTGTTGCCTCAAGCAGGAAATGCATGTGTGCCTGCCCTGCTCCCTTAATTGAAGTTTAATAGATTTCAATATAAACTTGGGCTGATGTCAACTAACAGGCTGTACAGGCTGCTGGCTCAAAGCAAGCCATTTGTGTTTCAGTGTGGCAAGAGGGCTCTGTGATTGAATTAAGAATGGTTTGTAGGCGATAGTGACGGCTATCTGCAGGCTAAGCCTAGAAATAGTGATGTGGAGACAATTGTTGTGCCAGGACTAATGGATCAGGTCCCAATTCATTAGAAACTGATTGTTTTTGTCCTTTGCTATCCTTCAGCCACCCTTCCAGACTGCCTGGCCCCGAGGCCCTTCTGCCTATGTCCCCGGAAGAATTTGATCAGGTAGTGCAAGAGGTAACTTCTGCAGAAATTATGGTGAGTAAATGACAATTGCTTTGTGGTCTAATAATGCATTAAGCTGCTTTTGTAACAAGTCTGTCATCTCCAGCCAAGAGATATATAGGCACTTATAGCTATCCTTGATAAGTAGTACAGTCTATGATAAAGGTATGTCCTCCTTGCTACCAGGCAATTGATGAATTCTGCAGGCAGTTTCAGCCATCTCTTCCTTCCATTTTGGGCCTTTCACCTGACGTCAAAATTACAACAGCCCTGCTTGCATGTTAAATGCACTTGTGACCTAAATTATCCTGAAAGGGTTTTTTAAATCTTGCTTGCAACGCTTATTGCATGGAGTGGTGAGATTTTAACCTGGTAGCTCATCTTATGTTTTCTCTCTTACAGATGTGTACGGACTGTACACCATGAACCCTGGCTAGGCCTGCTGGCATAAAGTCTTGAGTGTGTCCTCTTTACGTGCAGTTCCCAGAACCCACAGGAGTCTCATCATTTTTAGTCTCTTAGGCTCTATACCTTGTAGTGTTGAGTACTTTGGTTTTTACTGCAAGAGCGGCTTGAACCTTCCGAAATGCTTACTTGCTACTAAAAATATTTATCTAGTAATCCTGTACGTAGCTGTTTTCATGGTGTTGTGTTCAATAATATTTCCAGGTTTTATATATAAGGTTGCTTAGGTTCAGTTTGACCCATGTGTGAAAAGCTACAGGTCTCAGACTCTTAGGATTATCTTTTTATCTTGGGGTAGATGCTTCGAAATTAGTGCTGCCACACCACTAGTCGGTCAGTACGTTCCAACAACTTCTGCTGCCCTTCTGATGAATAAAAGGTAAATATGAATTAATTTCTATAACATAGTTTCCTTGTGAGACTGCAATAATTTCAACCTTCTGCCCCCGTTCCTCTCCAGCGTTAAAGTCTAAGGTAACATTCCTTTTTACAGTAACTCAGATACTGCAAATAATTACAGTTTACAAAAATGCATGTGCTTCTTTTGGCAGATCATAAGACAGTGATCAGTGATCTCAGGAGAAAGACTGGTCAAGTTACTAGCTCCCTAGAAATATTAAAAGAGAACAGCAAAACTTGAAATCTCTGAAATTGCACAGAAAGTCCGACGTGTGCAAAGAATAGAGTTCAGAGAATAAGGGTTCTCACATACACAAAAAATAATTATGATTTTAAAGACAAAGTCTAATCAGAGCAATTACCTGTTCCTTGGAGTACCCTGAATTCTGAAGCAAAGTGCATGAAGCAAAGTGTCCCTGAATCTTTTTGGCCTCGTCAGATACTTTTAACCACATATTGAATTTGTCAGGTGGTAAGCTTAACTTACTTTTCCGAGTCTAGGCACCCCAACAACTGCTTCCCATCTTCCTGTTCTTCCAGAAATTGGCAAAAGCAATCCAAGTAAACACCACTGGTGTTTGTTATCGTATTAAATTGCATGCAATGTGATCTTTGTTATTGAGGGAAAGAAGGTTCTTCACACAAATGTCATCAGAGTGCTAGGAAATTCAAGACAGGGTACATTTTGTGTCATATTGCCTGTAATGATCATAGCTATTGTTAAGTAATTAATAAAGTGAATTTATTGCAGTCTTCTATGGACTTTTTTCATCCTGGTCCCACTTAACAGCAACTAGGTGTGTATTACTCCCTTCAATATTTACCAAATGCTTCTTTAGACAAACAAACATTGCCCCCTTATATATTGAGAACAAAAGGGTAGACTTAACTAGGTTTTAGGGCAATGGCACCACAATGGACAACCTTACAACATAGTACGCTTCCACAGAATGCAGACTGGATGTGAGAGAGAAAAAATATCCAAGCTTACTACCTTTATTTATTTAACTTTATTTTATTTGGCCTGTTTATTATTCTTAAAATGCAATGCATTTGGATTTGTAATCCTGAAAATAAATCTTACCTTCAGAATGGTTACACTGAAATTTAAGTCATAGGAAAATGGCGACAAGCAAAGAATACATTCATCATGGTTTATTCCCTATAATAAAGCCAAATGTCAAGCCAAATCAGTCAGTTGCTCATCAGGTCAGTAAAGTCACTGATAATCCTGCCCTGAAGCTAAAAATGGTGCCAGTGCACTGCAACACAAACATAAACACACTCGCACACACAAATGAGATAGTAGAATAAGGTGGCTGTAGTACTAATAAAGCTCACTTTTAGATGGAATAAATAAAAATGTTTAAAATTCACTGTTGCATTATTTTTGAATGAAACCATGGGAGGCAAAAGCAAAACTGAACTGAAGATAATGTAAATCCACATATAAATAAACTAACTCAGGAGCTACAAAGACTTATGAAATACAACACATAAGAAAGAAAAGCTATACTATAGTTGCAAGAGATTGGTAGGTACTAAATAAGGTTTGGGGGTTTTTTGTAATGGCTAAGGGAAAAAATATAAACTGTTGGGTAATATGGCCATTTTTTTATGTGTTGGTTATTTTCTTCAGCATTTTTATTTGGTTTTAAAGCAAAAATAAAACAAAGTAAAACACAACGTTGACTGGTGAACATATATTCTAGCACTTTTAAGATGGGGCTGTGTGTCTGGAGCAACATTCCCTACTTTGCACAATATATACAACGTTTTTTAAAAATAACTAGTATGTGCTATAGGAGATATGAATTAATGAGTTTTCCATAATGGCATCTGGGATATGAGGGCTGGCTAATGTTCTGCTCTAGAGAAAAACTGGTCAGCTGCAAGTGAACTTTCTAGAGGTTAATCCAACAGGGTCAATACGGCCAAACTTTTAACTGAAAGGACAAATGTGAGGGAATAGTGACGCTGTGAATGAAATGGTAGGGCAAAGGGGGCAAAAACAATGACCTTGTGATGCCTTCTTTAAAAATCATCTTAGCATAAATGAGTTTTAGCATATTCACAATATCCAGTTTAGCATGTATACATACAGCTTATGACCAAATCAAATGCGTTAGGATCGCATTGTTTTGCCTTAGGTCACAGTTCACAATGGGGAAAACTTTCAACCAGTTGAAACAGGGACGGGGGGAAGCAGGACAAAGAATCTACAGGTGCAGTATTCTCTACTTACATTCTCCTACGTTGTTTGGTCAAATAAACCTTGGAAGAGATTCCCTGATAAAAACACTTGGAACAAGAGTTAAGCCTAGGCAGCATCCATCAGTCCATATGTAAGAAATTACATGATATAAGCGAGTATGGTGGGAAAGCATTTTGAGTGCTTTATGTTCCAAGATGCCAGGTTGGATCCACAAGAGCCACAAATCTCAAAATCTAGCAAGACAACAACTATCTTGGCTCAGGTATACTCGCAGACAGCTTTCTTAAAAGTATCCATGTTTTCACAGCAAGCAGGACAAAAAAGCTTCATGAGTATGACCATGGAGTAAAGCTTCGTGGAGATCTCCCTCCCGCCCCACAAAAAAACCCTATGCGTATAGTCAACAATAATTTCTATCACTTGCACATAGCACAAGATAATATTGCTCACATGAATAGTTGGGGTTTTTTCTGAAAAAAAAAACTTGTCTTTTGTGTGCAACAAAGAAAGCTGCTGTAACATTGGAACAAAGCAGTACTCTGAAAAATATACATCACTATCCAGCAAAAACATTCACTCTTCATAATCATTTTCCACAATTAAATAGATCATTAACTTTGAATCTCAGTCAGAAGAATGTTATAGTAAGCCATCCAGGTTTTTCTGTACAGTTTGGTTTTCTTTTCCATTATTAGAGTTGTCTGGAGGGGTGTACTGAACTTGATATTCTTGAAGAATTTTGAATACATCATGATGTCCAAAGTGCAAAGCTTCATCCATAGGTGTATTGTTCCATCTGGAAGAAAATTTAATAAGAAGTGGTAGGAGTGTTAAAGGCATCTCAATCTCTAACAGGCTCTAAATTAACATGATGATGTATTTATACAAAGATTTCCATCCTCCGCTTGTAATGAACACACACCTCTCTGTTTAGCTGCTAAAATGAATGCTGCCTATATAGAAAACCCCTTCCTGAAAAGTGGGCTCCCAAAACAGCATTTCAGCTGAGCCTGTCCCCTTGCATATTAGAAACTGACTGAAGTTAACGCTGTTTGATAGGTTTCTTTACAATAGACCTCTTAAAATCTGATGATTCAGCTCCTTCCTTCAATGAAGCACTATGTACTCACTTGGCCAAGCCAGTCTTGGATAGCTTAATCAGGATAAATCATACTTGTTTTGTGTTACTACCAAGAATCCTGTCTTCATCTTCAGTCTGAATGCATGTCAAGTCCTATTTTAATGTGATGGAAGGAGAAGCAAACATCCTAGGTGTACTATAAGACTGTGATAAAGCAGTGGTTAGAATGCAGTACTGCAGGCTACTTCTGCTGACTGCTGGCTGCCTGTAATTTAGCAGTTCAAATCTCACCAGGCTCAAGGTTGACTCAGCCTTTCATCTTTCCAAGGTGGGTAAAATGAGGACCCAGATTGTTGGAGGCAATAATATGATTCTGTAAATCGCTTAGAGAGGACTAAAGCACTGTGAAGTTGTATATAAGTCTAAATGCTATTGCTATTATCAAACAGTCTAGGTTGAAGCAAACCGGAGCAATTTTATGTGAGGCTGTAGCAAATACAACTTTGCAGGCAACTGCAATGTCTTCCTAAGCTTTCCTAAGCAAGCAACTTCTTACAATGGGATGATTATATAGACACAATGGTAACAGCAAAGAACAACTTTTTTTCTGCCCTACAGACAAAGCGCAGGCTTTAACATGAGCTTTGTTTGTTGTTTGTTTGGATTCCTCTGAATCTTATTCTACTGTCTATTGGTCTTCCTGCTTTATGGTCCTGGAAAATCAAAGAACCCATTTGACTTAGCAAGCAATGAAAGCACTCAGAGGTACTCCAAAATTAAAGTGTATGATTGGCAGCCAGCCTCGAGTTTATCTTTCGCCATTCGTGGTGAATGGTGCATTTTGCCATAATACCAACAATATCCTCCCTATCTTCACAACTTTGCTTTCAGTGGAGTCCCCCTTATCACCGCACCTCTCATAGTGGAATATTTGGAAAATACAAACATGGATAGATAGCTGAAGTCTTATCTTTGTATTAATCCAAATATAGCTAAAAACAGTTTAATCCAATACCTTCATCATCACTTCTTGACCAAATGCAATCTAGACCAAACTCTTGAACTCAGAGAGATGTATCTTCCTTCCTTACCATCTTCTTAATGTTCTGGCTTTATTAAGCATTCTAGCCTTGTTATCAAAAGTAGCCTGCCTGTCTCATGACCACTAGGGAAACTTCCATATTTTGAATTTTTTGTTTAGAATAGAGACAGGAAGAATATTCTTAAATAGTAAATGGCAATTGAGTTTAAAATGGAAGCTTCTTAAAATACCTTGCCTTTCTAGGAAAATTATGGTATATAATTTGGAAGCAGGCATTTAAGAAATAGCTTGTGTTCATGGCTAAATAGAGAGAGACAGACAGAGAAAAAAAAGTGAACTGCACCAGGCCTGAACATCCCACTTTACAATTCCCACCACAGAATATTTTTTGTTCCATTCAAAGTGGTGTTCTATCACCAACAGAAGTCTTAATATAACTTAATATTCTAAGATCTCCAAGTTTGTTCATTTTAACTCTATTTGCCAAATGAATTGATGCTAGACGAGACTATTCCGTCTGCAGCAATCCTGAAAAGCCATAAAACTAAAGGAGAAATTCAAATTAAAGTTAATGATTACTTTTTGTAAACCAAGAATGGTGTAAGTACACATACACATCTCAGGAATGTTAACTGTGGGGCATTCCAACTCAACATTTCATTTAGGTGAACTTAAATCCAGTGAACCCAGGCGGTTAAGACTTGCCTCCTGTACTCAATAAAAATGGGGTAACTGCGTTAATTTGCAAGGAGAAGTAAGTATGCTAACAAACTATTAATATTCTGGGGCATGTTTATTTAAGATCTACTATATTATCTGAGGGAACCAGTCACTCTCACTCAGACCTAGGAAGAGGGCAGTGGTAAACCACTTTTGAGATCTTGCCAGGAAAACTGCAGGGACTTATCTGGGAAGCCAACACAGGTCCACATATGCACATGCTGTATGTTATTTTACTATTGCCTTGATCCCTTGATCTCTCCCACCCAAAGGACTTTATGTTTAGCTCTACAAAGAAGCCTAAGGCTTATTCCATTTCCACATCTTGACACAGAAGATTTAATTGATGGCTAGGCTAACTTAAAGGAGCAGATGGTGCATTACACTTTGTGGAAAATATCAGATTTTTAGGGTATGAATTTCTTGCAGCATATTGTTTACGAATCCAGTAATATGCATCACTTTTAACAAAGTTAATTAATTCTCTACTATATTTTTCATGCAGATGCTCACCTGTCTTTGGGAAAAGGATTCACTTTGCAAGCTTCCAGCAAAAATTTAACTACCTCTACATGACCTAAAATACAAAAAGAGATAAGTGTATAAACTCCTTATATTCCCCATACCAAATGCAACAGCTAGTTTAGATATTATTCATGGTCCAACCTTCTGCAGCTGCTACGTGCAATGCTGTTCGAGAATCATAGTCTCTTTGTTCCATATCCATACCCGACAAGGCAAATCTGAAAAAATGGAAGGAGGAAAACCTGATCACAAATAACATAGAGTTAAACGAACAGCCGCCCCTAAACATTTGGCCCAGTGAACACATCAGGATTGTTTAAAGCTGGTTGCCATGGGATGGAGCACTTGCCAATTAGGAAAAGTATTGCGATGTTGGCAGGGACAGCAGCTAAACCAAAAATGTCAGGTGGGCACAAGATACCAAGAAAACCGGTTTCCACTTGCCCCATGGTGGGGACTGCATTGTAGTATGATCCTCAGACACAATATTTGGACCATTGTTCAATCCTGATTAAAACTGGAAGTCTTCTTCACTCTTACGTTATGCTAGGACTCCAGAATTAGAATGATGCTTAACTGTGTTTGAGCTGGAGTAGAGGAAAATTGAAGAACTGCATCAAGCACTGAATTAAGTTTAGCTCTTCAGTGTAGTTCTCTCTTATGCTTTCTTTTCCCATCCCATTGCGTCTATCATCTATCTACAAATTATCCTTTTTTCAAGGTCTCCTTTTGCTATCAAATCCTCTTTTTCTTTAACTAATAATGGCTTATCCAGCCATCAGACAGCCATATATAGTAAGACAGCTTAAAGGCATTTATTCTATTTGGAACTCAGCAAAATCTGA